GTGTTTGGTCACAGCTATAAACTGCTTCCTGTGGCCAGACCAGGCAATAATTGTCACTTCTGCCTGCGCTCCTGGAGAGGCTGCCACCAGGACGGCCACAGCTGGGTCTCGTTCGACCGGGTCACGGGGAACAAACCCTCAAGATGTATATGGTGTGGACGCAGGCTGCGGCCTCAGGGTTTGGCTAGGTCAGAGCGACCTTCAGGCAAAGGCCAGATCCGGGTCCCGATGCAAGGGCGAGTGCTCGCGCTCACCCAGCCGCGCCGAGAGACAGCTTGGCAGTGGACATGGGTGCACAGCGAGGAAGCCCCCCTGGCAAATACGGTGCCAGCAGGTCTCTTTGCTTTCCTGCATGCAGCATTTACAAGGTGGGGCTGTCCCTCCGCTCCCGCTCAGGGGCCCCAAATGCAGCCCAAGTCGTTCGCCTCGCTTCCTCGGGAGCAATTTGCAACCGTTTGATCTGGCAGAAATGGAACAAGCTCAGACGTGCCAGGCACAGACGGTTTCCCCCACCCAGCACAGCTGCTGCCTCAGTTTCCCCCCTTTGCCCGTGTTATTCCCGTTTCTGAGCAGCAAGGCCTCCCTTCTCCGCTCGGCTGCAAGGCCCCGATCCCACTAGCTCGTCTTGCCCTGGACGGAGCCGAAGGGAAAGGGGGAGGACGGGAAACTGGTCGTTTCTCGTAAACCCTCTTCCCCTTCCTCGCACAGCGAAGCGTGGGTAACAACGCGCCTACCCACCTGGAGCAGCGGTCTGGAGGGGCGCGCCCTTCCCATCCTTTGAAATGTCACAAAACGCTCTTCTTGCCTGGGGTGCCCTTGGTGCCTCCTTGATGCACAGAGAGCCCCGGGCCACGCTCATCCTCCGCAGGCCGGCAACGAGAGCCTTGCTGCCCAGAGCCCTTCCCAGCATGGCGCGCACGGTGCTGTACCGTCCACGTGCCTGCCTCTGCCCTGCTTCAGCGACCAGGCATCGTGGACCCAATGTTCCTGCAGGAAATGTATGTGATCCTCCAAGGGTATTTACACAGCCGTGCTGCTTCACGTCAGCACACCTTATCTCGTGACCGCAAGCTCGCACCACCCTCGGATTTCCTGAGTCACGGTGACTCGTTAAGTCCCTTCCCCGGCTCTGCCAGGAGACGCACCTCTGCATAACGAGGGCAACAGCCAAACTGCGATTGCCTGCGTCCAAACTGCGGCCTGCTGAGGGTCTGCGACGTCACGAAGCTACCAGCATTGCAAAGATGCAATGTTCCTCCAAGTCTTCCCCGAGCCCCCCTGAAGCGAGCAAAACCCCAAGGAGCAGCACATCAAATCCACAGCCACGGCACTGACCACGAACGGCAATCGGGGCTAGCAGCAACGGTACCCAAAAAACTTTTCCCCCCCAAAAAAGGAGTTAAAACACGACAAGACCAGTCTGCAGGAGTCATTCACAACCATCCTCAGCTGCCCACATGTTACATGAAAAAGTAATCGAATTAAATCAGCTTCCCCTAAAAGCACAGGGGTATTCTGCGTTGCTGGCATCAGCTGGGGGAGAAAGCCTGTCGTGATGTATTCCTGGTACCGAACCCGGGTGGAAGTCACATTGCTCAGTGCTTCCCAGGTACAATAACCAAAGCAAATGATTAACCAGGCAGGTCTGCAGCGCAGATTTATCACAGCCCAAGCTTTCCCGGGGCGCTCTCATAGGGAAGCAACGAGGCAGCGGGTTATTTCTGCCTCCTGAATTATGTGCGTTGCATCTCGTGACGCACCCTGAAGTTCAGACCTCCTCTGCCACCGCTGCGCCCCGCGTGCATGCAAACCCTTGGCTGGACTCAGGACCAAACTGTTCTGCTAGAATCTGCATTTTCCAGCTGAAAAATTGTCCCCCTGGAAATGCTGCCGCCATCTCTCGCCCTGATCGCTGACTGACCCATGAATTACAACTTGGAAACAAGTCTATTTGTTGCATCTGAGGGTAGATGCCAGCAGCCTCCATCCACGCTGTGCTGGCTCGGCAGGGCTAAGGGGACGAAAATATAATATACTCATTTATGTCAAAGTCAAAGAGCCGGAGTCTAAAGACGCTGGATGCAGAAGGGCAGCTGGTCTCATGAGGAAGAGTTTCCATTTGAGATAATCGCATTTCAGAGCGGAGCAGCACTTTTAAGATTGGAAGTCAGCAAAGCAGGGAAAGCCTGCAAGGACTAAAATTAATTTTGCTAAAACACTGCTTTATGTACTATTTGGCAGCAAGTGGAAGGGTCAGTCTGACATGACTCTAACCTGGAAAGGATTTGGTCTCTTCCAAAATCAAACCCCATGACGCCGGAAAAGTCCTGCCGATGCCCATCCTACCGGCTCTTAAGTCATACAGTATTAAATTATACTATTAAGTTATCACGCACACAATGCAACACAAACGATATTCTACCGACTTGATGTTTTCCCTCCTGGATTTTGCACGACGTTAATGGCTCAGGAAATGCAAATGCAAAATGCATTTCCTATCTGAAATGCTGGGTTATTTACTCTGTTGATACTTAGGAGGCTCTAAAGCTGATTTACATCCAGGAAGAAAATCCTCTGGCAAAAGTCGTTTCCCTTTTGAATAAGGGAAAATGTTAAGAACCATTTAATGCTATCAAATGTCACATTGCTGAAGACAATCAAAGTTGTATTGGGCAGGGGCGGGGGGACGGCGATAGGACGCAGAATGCGATGTTGGCAAGGATGCTCTTTAAGGAGCCGGGCGATGAAAGATGAGAGGCAGATGGAATAAGCTGAAGCACTTGAGCTATTCATCTCTTGGCCCCAAGGAAAAATCCTCTGCTGTTTATAGAGATGTTTTGTGTTTCGGAGAGCATGGAATTATTGATACCGAGGACAAAAAAACTTGTGGCGATGACGACTTTGTTTTTCCTCCGCGATGGAAGCCACACAATGCGCCCAGACACAACACAACGTGTTTAGCTTAATTTGCTTGTAATTCAGCAAAGCAAATTAGATCCATTTTCAGATTAGGAACCTACACAGAAAATGAATGGCAGCTCGAGCTTCCAGCTGCAAACTCCGCTGCAAGGCAGACCTGCAAAGAAGCGGCACCGCGGGGACCTGGTGCGGTGGTTGGAGGGGAAGGGGCCAGGCTAGAGGTTTATAGGTAGGTCGTGGCTTCAGGGACTCTTCGGGGTGCATTTAGCCTGCCCTCTTGTACAGGAGGCTGGAGACGATGGGCCGTGACGTCCTACCAAACCGATGCTGCTGTAATGGTCTATTAGGGTGCCCCCAGATCCAGGGAAGCCATATAGGCAGACAGCAGCCTTGCAGTCCCCTGGGCCGCCGGCGCAGAGCAGAAGAGACCGAGCGAGCAAGGCCCCTGTGGCCGCAGGGCATCAACCAGCGAGCGGTGGCCAGATGCTCTCAGCAGACGAGTGACATCCAGGCTGCAGAGGAAGGCAAATCACCCCCTGGGTGCCTGCCAGCCCAGCCCAGCCCAGCCCAGCCCGGCTATCGGCAGGGCCCTGAGCCTGCAAACGAGACACCCACGAGCCTGAGCATCTCTGCATTCCTCCGCGCGCTCACGCAGCCCTCGCCTGTGCTTCCTTCAGCTGCATTTAAATCCAGGTTGCTCTTGCAGAAAACTCCTGGGAGCTCAAATTGCTCAGCTCTCGAGCATGTGTTTGCTGCAGGGCAAGTCTCCTCCCTGACCCTCCTCATCTCCCTATCTGGGTGCTCCCAGCTGTGCGCCCTGCCGCCCTCACGCCGGTGGGAAGCCGGCCACCAGCTCAGCACCGATAAGAGAGGCCCGGCGGCCGGGCAGGAGTTTGCGAGGGTGGCGACAGCTCCCCACCCTCACATCACATCCCAGACCCCCCTCCCCAGTTGGCTCGGGGTGGTCCTTGCTCCGGCCAGGCGGTGCCGTAGGTGAGCAGCCCGGTATTGACCCATCTCTGCAGCACAGCAGGGGAAAATCTCTCTGGACCGGGAGGGGCAGCAATAGCCGCACATGCACGATCCGGCTCAGAAGGCAGCAAGGCTTTTCTACGCACTTTGCTCTGAACCATCAACCCACCTGTTCATGCTCAGCCTATTGGTGTGAACATTTGCTGGGGAAGCTGCCCCCACAGCGCTGAATCATCTGCATCACGCCCTGAATGTTTGCAAGCAAAATATGCGTGCATTTTCCCCAAGAACTTCCTCTTTAAAGCCATATCGCACCCATTGAGCCTATATTAAAGTTGCTTCCAGCATCTGCCATTGGGAAACCGCAGTCCCTTGGCTTGAAAAGCTGGGGCAGCGTGTCTGCGGCAGCGGAGTCCAAGAGAGCTAAAGTCTGTGGGCGCACGCAGAGCATGTGGCACGGCTGAGCGCTATCCCAATCCCACCGAACTCAAATAGCAAAGCACCCTGGCCCTGAGCGAGACGCAGAGCCAGGCCCCAGGGAGGGCCCGGATGATGGGCGACGCTGCTCCGTCTGCTCGGACTCACGCAGCGATTCACTGGCAAGCATCAGGCAGCAGCCGCGATGCCTTTCTTGCCTGCCTGCCCCTTCCAGGATGTGCGTCCCCCGTTTCATATTCAAGTACAACTCCATTCTCTCCGGCAGGTCTTGCGTGGCGGTGTACGGCGAGCCAAGCCCCATCCCTGGCACCAGCATCCTGGACCCAAACTCTTTGCAGGCTGCGGCAGTTAGGAAAACAACGCTTTGCAAACTAAAGTTTGCAAGCGCTTGCTAACCCTCCTGACGGGGGGAGCAATTAGCACAGGTAGCCAAAGCAAGGCCAAACCAGGTTATAAAGGAGTCGGTGTGTTTGCTTATGAAATGGAAGTAAATGGTGGTATCTGAGAAGCATTTCTCTCCTTTCCATGCCTTGGGGTTAATGATGCGCATTCATATGGATGTTGTGCCCCAGACAGCGCAGGGGCACGGGGGGATGGAGAATTAGGATGCACACACACCTTCACGGTGCTGTTAGACACCGGTGCCTCTGGCGTGCACACGCGCCCCCGCATACAGCCCCCAGCGGGCACGAAGCCCCCTGACCTGTGGCAGGGCAGGGGCTGCCATCCCCTGCTCCGTTCTCTTTGCCGTGACCAGCCTGTTGCTGGACGCAGTCGCTTCATCTCAGTCAGCCTTGCTCCTTCCCTTACATTTCTTGCATTTGTTGTTTCAGGAAAAAGGGGCCTCAGGAGAACAGATTTCTATCTGGCAACAAACAGCACTTAAACCACACCAGATTATTGCTACTCTCTCTACTGGAAAATAATTTGATATCAAATCATTATAGGCCTCAGCATCAAACTGATTTGGAGGAGTCGTGGTTCCTGTTAATTAGCTCCTGCTAAGGGTACTAATTAGATCCTTTCCCCGGTTTCTAACTCTGTCCTGTCCACCTGCTTTTAAAATAAATTCTTGCTGAGTTGAGGCCGCAAGCACAACTGACAAGCTGTTAGCAAAGCAAGCTGCTGACGTGTGCAGAGCGCGCAGAACCTAATGTCTTTGCTTCCTGGCTTTCCTACCCATTGCAATTAAAGCTGTTGCATATGAGAGTTGTGCTGACATCGAGAAAGCTGAGAGTGTCTTAAAATGAGCTCTCTCAGCCTCAGTCTAATTAAATGCAGACCAGGGCTGTAACCTAGCTTCTTAGCAGAGGTTAATAAACAGCCCTGGATGGGCGTGTGGCTTACAGTATTGTGAGCTCCTTTGCAGATATGGTGCTAGAGATCATAGAATAGAAAATGAGGGTTGGAAGGGACCTCAGGAGTCATCTAGTCCAACCCCCTGCTCAGGACCAGCCCCAACGACATCATCCCAGCCAAGGCTTTGTCTACCCGGGGCTTAAACACCGGTTGCTGCTCTCTAAGGGTGCGCCTACACATGCATTAAAGCGCTTAAGCTAATGTGCATTAAATCTAGTACCTCCATTGTGAGGTACTAGGAAAATGCACATTAGCCTGTCTTAATGCTCGTTAACTAAATAGCATGGTTTTTAAGTGATGCTTAATGTGCGTTAGCCTATTTTAATGTGCATTAACTAAATAACATGTTTTTTTAATGACGCTTTAACGCACATTAAAATAGGATAATGCACATTAAAGTGCACATGTAGACACGCTCCTCCCTGGGGGCAGCATGGAGCACAGTGAAGCCAAACAGTGCATCTCTAACCATCTGCCCT